TTTTTTTTTTTTTTTTTTTTGAGATGGAATCTTGCTCTATAGCCCAGGCTGGAGTGCAGTGGCATGATCTTGGCTCACTGCAACCTCCACCTCCCGGGTCCCAGGAGCAACTCTCCTGCCTCAGCCTCCCGGGTAGCTGGGATTACAGGTGTGCATCACCATGCCTGGCTCATTTTTGTACTTTTAGTAGAGACAGGGTTTCACCAAGTTGGCCAGGCTGGTCTTCAACTCCTGACCTTGTGATCTGCCCACCTCAGCCTCCCAAAGTGCTGGGATTATATGTGTGAGCCACCGCACCCAGCCCCTCTCCTAAAATTTTTGATCAGTGTATCTGTTCAAAGTTTGTAATCTTCTAGTTGAAATTATCTTCTTTTTTTATTTTTTTTGAAACAGGGTCTCACTCTGCCACTCAGGTTGAGTGCAGTGGTGCAGTCATGACTCACTTCAGTCTTGACCTCCTGGACTCAAATTATTCTCCCACCTCAGCCTTCCTAGTAGCTGGGACTATAGGCATGCACCATCATGCCTAGCTAATTTTTGTTTTGTTTTTGTTTTTGTTTTGTAGAAATAAGGTCTTACTATGTTGCTAAGGCTGAACTTCTGGATGCAAATAGTCCTCCTGCCTGGGCCTTCCAAATTGCTGGGATTACAGGCATAAGCCACCATGCCCAGCCTGAAATTATATTCTTTCTTGACTCTAAACCATTTTTGGTTTATGTGCTCAAAATTCTTTTTTGAAAACCTATTTTTTGCCAGTGTTTGGCACCATAAAATTATGATTCTGTATATTTATACAGCTTTCAGTGAATGCATCTGTAACAGCTACTGTGCACCTAGGCACAAGAGATTCCAGGATTAATAAGGCACAGCTCTTTCACTTGAGAACTTTATTGACTCAAAGGAGAGAAAAATACTCAAAAGCTTATAATGTGTACACTGTACTATTTTGAATTGTTTGTGTTTTCTCCTATAGGAAGTCAGGTACCTTCATTGGTTTTAAAGTTTTCACTTGAAGAAGTGATTTGAATACATTTGTGCTTATGAAAAGATAACTGTTAGCAGGCTAAAATATAGACCTGAGGGAGAAGAGACAGGAATAAACCAAATGGGGTTGTTGTAACAATCATCAAGAAGATGATGACAAAACTTGATTATGACAGTTACAGTGGGCAAGGATGGAAAGATATTTATCCAGCCCTGTCTTTTCATCCATGTTTCAGTTGTATCACTGGTCTCTCAAATACCTCTAATTGTTTATCAACTCAAATTAGATGAAATAATGAAAATAATAGGCAATATTTATTAATACCTTTCTTTGTAGCAGACATTGTTCTGATTGCTGTATCTATATTTACTCGTTTAATCCCCCAGCAATTCTATAAGACAGGTGCTATTAATATACACATTTTCTGAGGAAGGAACCATTGCAGAGTTTCAGTAACTGACTAGTGTCACACGGGATCCTGGTTCTTCCTCTGTGTTTTTTTAAAACTGTGATGCTCTATTGTCTGAAACCCGGCTTGATTATTTCTCTTACCTTCTTTTCTTTTTGTGTTCATTTCTCTGTATCGATATCTCTACTGTCTACTTTTCTTCATGGCAGTCAGCGTCATTTTAAATGCTTGTGTCTCTGCTTTCAGTTTTCCCTTATTCCTCTTCTTTTTACTGCCACAGAAATATCACTATCATCATGTTATTCAGTTGATTCATGTCTTGGAAACATGTAGTAATTCTCTATCACTTATTGAATCAAGTATGTCATAGTATTAAAGAATTCCCAATAATTGGCCTCATATCATGAATCCAACTCTATTTTTCTTAAATTACCAAGGAGAGAATGGTTTTCTGTCTTCCTTAGTTCCAAAATCATTGCTTTTTTTATGCATATCTATGGTTTTCTTCTAATCTGAATTGTTTTTTCTTTCCATCACTTTAACTTTTCTTCAAGATGTGGCTTAACCAAGGCTGCCTTCCATGAAATTAAACCATTGTTTGATTGTTTTCTCCTTTCTGTGAATTCTTTACCACTAATAATAAGCTGTATTCTGGCCTATCTATGCCTTTGGTAGAGCACTGGTCTCCTGGGTAATACGAAGAGAGTTGAGCCTGCCCTCACAAACAGCTTAATTTATCTGAGCTGCATCAAGGAGTTAGTGTGTGGAGGATAGGTGGCAATGCCTCTGCTTAGGCATAAATATGCAAGTTTCTCACAAACATATAAAGAATATATAATATTTTTACCAAGGCAATGAAATACACTGCCCCTTATGATAACTTCGCCTCCAAGCAGAATGTTGTTTATTTCCTTCAGAGATATTTCTCTTTACTTTCCACTTTAATGCAATTTAAGGAGTCAGAAAGGTCATCATCTGATTGATTTTAAATAATCAGTAGTGTTAAATAATAATTTCTTTCCTTTTTGGTACTGCCAGAAACTTAGGAATAATATTTTACATTCCACTCCACTTGACTTGGCACTTGCCAAGTGTAAGGTTAAAAGAACGCTTGAAAAGAATATGTATTTTTAATTTGTGAGTACAGGGATTTGTAAGTGTCCATTAAATGAAGCTTATTGTGGACAAATCTGAGTTTCAGTCTATTTAATAAATTAGTTTCTAGGAGGTCTCTTAATCTCTCACTGTGATTACTGATTTGTTCACTTCTCTTTGTAATTTTGTCAGTTTTGCTTGAGGAATTTTGAAGTTATATTGCTGTATGCATTATAGATTGTTATAACTGTTTGTAAATTGTTCCTTTCGTTATTGAGGAAAGACCTTCTTTGTATCTATCAATGCCTTTTGCCTTAAATTTTATTTTGTTAAACAGTGCATCTAAGCTTATCCAGTTGAATAGTCATCTGTAGTGGTTTCACAATTAAAGAAACGATTATTTTATGGCTCCATTTTCAAAACGGTGTTTAAAACCATGTTAACTTAATGGGTATATGTGATTGGCAACCATCTATTAGAACTTGATCTTCAAAATGAATTATGTGGGCATCTTACAGTAGTCAAATTACTATTCAGATTAAATGATACTAAAAACAGTTGACATTTCATATTTAATGGCACCATTGATCCATGTTCATCACTTAACAGTGAATGCTAACATAAAGGTTGTATAATTTATTCTACTTTAATGTCCTTTCAAACTATCCAAGCCTGTTTAGAAAACAGTGAAGCAAGTATCAACTACAGTGACTTCTGTCACTTTGTCTTTTAAGTGACAGAAGTCAATACACTTACTTGACATAAAATAGCACAAGCTACTTTAGATTTAAGATATTTATTAATTCTATAAATGACAGACCATTTATTTGAGCCAGAAACAAAACTATCATCATAATATATTAAGTTCAGCCAGCTTCTACTAATCTTATGCCAGGCACTGCTAAGCATCACATATACAAAGGAAGAAAGCAGTCCTGTTCCTTTAGTGTCATTTTCAGACTGAAAACAAAAACTTAATGTAATATGGTAAGTACCACAGTAGAATTTACATTAGAGTTACAGAAACCATATATTCTTATTCATAGTTTACTAATGGTTATGCTATATTCACATACCTAAGATAGTGGTCAGTTGCTTTTTCTGTAATACAAAAAAAATATATAAAAGAGGGACTTAAATTAGAACACATGATTTTATTTATGTATTTATTTTCTTACTTTAAGGTCTGGGATACATGTGCAGAACATGCATTTGTTACATAGGTATACATGTACCATGGTGGTTTGCTGCACCTATCAACCCATCATCTAGGTTTTAAGCCCTGCATACATTAGGTATTTATCCTAATGCTCTCCCTCCCTTTGCCCCCCACCCACCGACAGGCCCCAGTGGGTGATGTTCCCCTCCCTGTGTCCATGTGTTCTTATTAGAACACATTAATTTAACATACAAAGTCAGTAAAGCTATTAAACAAGTTGGGGGTATGAAATGTTCTGAAAATACCCTCTAAAAATAGTTATTAGTCAATATTGTTGCCGAATGTTTTACATATTCTAAATTGAACTTATGCTTCTCCCATGCTTGTCTTTCACTCCTTCTCTCAAACTTGATGCATATCCTGTATTACCTGTGTTTCACTGCACCATTGCAAGGCTTATGCCAGAAATCTGGAAGCCATCCATGATACATCCTGCTTCTTAACCCCATTTTGATTGGCCTTCATCAATTCCTGGCAGTTTTTACTTTGAAATTCATTTTGAGTCCATCTGCATTTCTTCTCCGCTGCTGCCCAAGTGTCTCCACCTTTCACCTATGCTACTCCAGAAGGCATCTTCTCTTGCCTTATCTCTTGTCCATTTCATTTACTCAAAGAGCTACTAGAGTTATCTGTTTAAAATAGTACATCCAATGATTGTGTGCTTACTTTCTCAAAACTATTTGATAACTTCATAGTGATCCTATGATCAAATCATCTCAGACTACATATTGAAATCACTGTGATTCAGCCACATTGAGTTTTCTTAATATATCTTGTGTTCTGTCACTCTCCTCTTCACTCTACCCTCTTTACTTTTTAATTCTTTTAATTTGTAATACTTTTAATTATGTTGCCTTACTTTTTCTTTCTTTCTTCCTTTTTTTTTTTTTTGGCCTCCTTATGACCAATTCTTCAGGTCTCAGTCTGAAGCATATTTGCTACTTTGAGGAAACCTTTTGTAACCCTCTAAAGGATATTTTATCCTTCCCTCTTCTAATTTTTGTCACACTCATAAATATATATGTCATTGTTTTTTCTACCTCTAGCTCCTGAGAACAAGAACAAGGTCTGCTCAGTACAATGTCACATCTCTAATAGTTGCAAATATTTGTTGGATTAAAAAACTTGCATTGATGAATGAAAATAATGAATTCAAAAGGTTGATTTAAAAATATATAAAAACCTAAAACATCTCAATCATATCATTTTTTAAACCTCAAATTTTTACAATTAAATTCAAAACCATTGTATATGAACAACTGTCATATTTAAATTTTTTACTTCAAAATATTTTATCCAGCCTTATTCCTCAGTATTTCATAACATTATATTAAATGAATTTCATCTGTTTCCATAAAAGTAAACTAACTCAAAGAAGCAGCTTCTCCTCTCCTTCTGGAATCTCTCCCTGATTCAGCCTGCCTGCCTCCACTCCTGCCTCCACCATGTCCATCAGGGTGACCCAGAAGTCCTACAAGGTGTCCACCTCTGGCACCTGGGCCTTCAGCAGCCGCTTCTACACGAGTGGGCCCAGTGCCCGCAACAGCTCCTCGAGCTTCTCCTGAGTGGGCAGCAGCAGCTTCCAGGGTGGCCTGGGTACAGGCTATGCTGGGGCCAGCAGCATAGGCATGGGCATGGGCATGGGCATGGGCATGGGAGGCATCACCACCATCACCATCAACCAGAGCCTGCTGAGCCCCCGCAACCTGGAATTGGACCCCAACATCCAGGCCGTGGGTACCCAGGAGAAGGAGCAGATCAAGACCCTCAACAACAAGTTTTCCTCCTTCATCGACAAGATGAGGTTCCTGGAGCAGCAGAACAAGATGCTGGAGACCAAGTGGAGCCTCCTACAGCAGCAGAAAATGGCTCGGAGCAACATGGACAACATGTTCGAGAGCTACTTCAACAACCTGAGGGGGCAGCTGGAGACTCTGGGCCAGGAGAAGCTGAAGCTGGAGGCAGAGCTTGGCAACATGCAGGGGCTGGTGGAGGACTTCAAGAACAAGTGTGAGGATGAGATCAATAAGCTTACAGAGATGGAGAATGAATTTGTCCTCATCAAGAAGGATGTGGATGAAGCTAACATGAACAAGGTAGAGCTGGAGTCTCTCTTGGAAGGACTAACTGACGAGATCAACTTCCTCAGGCAGCTGTATGAAGAGGAGATCCGGGAGCTGCAGTCCCAGATCTCCAACACGTCTGTGGTGCTGTCCATGGACAACAGCCGCTCCCTGGACATGGACAGCACCATCGCTGAGGTCAAGGCGCAGTACGAGGAGATCACCAACCACAGCCGGGCTGAGGCGGAAAGCATATACCAGATCAAATATGAGGAGCTGCAGACACTGGCTGGGAAGCATGGGGATGACCTGCGGCGTACAAAGACTGAGATCTCTGAGATGAACCTGAACATCAGCCGGCTCCAGGCTAAGATTGAGGGCCTCAAAGGCCAGAGGGCTTCCCTGGAGGCCGCCATTGCAGATGCTGAGCAGCGCCGGGAGCTGGCACTGAGGGTTGCTCATTCCAAGCAGGAGGAGCTGGAGGCTGCCCTGCAGCAGGCCAAGCAGGACATGGCACGGCAGCTGCGTGAGTACCAGGAGCTGATGAACATCAAACCGGCCCTGGACATTGAGATCTCCACCTACTGCGAGCTACTGGAGGGCGAGGAAAGCCGGCTGGAGTCTGGGAGGCAGAACATGAGTATCCATACAAAGACTACGAGCGACTATGCAGGTGGTCTGAGCTCTACCTATGGGGACCTCACAAGCCCCAGCCTCAGCTACAGCTTGGGCTCCAGCTTTGGCTCTGGCACAGGCCCCAGCTCCTTCAGCCACACCAGTTCCACCAAGGCCGTGGCTGTGAAGATTGAGATCTCTGATGGGAGGCTGGTGTCCTAGTCCTCTGATGTCCTGCCCAAGTGAACAGCTGCAATAGCCCCTCCCAGCCTGCCCCTCCTGAGGCTGCCCCAGAGCCCGGGAGGGAGGTCCGTATGCAGGGGAGCACAGGGAACAGGAGGCCCACCTGAAGCTCAGCCCTAGCCCTCAGCCTGCCCGTTGGAGTTCACTGCCTGGGGACCACTCTTGCCCATGCCTCTAGCTGCAAAACAATTCAATTGCTTTTTTGGGGGGCCAAAAGAAAATCTGAGCTAGCTCAGAAAAAAAAAAGTAAACTAACTCTTTTGGGATGAAGATTTATTATTTTGAGAATATCCAAAAGAATGTGCTGCAGTATGTAAAGTCAGATAGTTTCAAAAAAGGAATCCATGTAGAAATGATACCATAGGATACAAAGAGACTCTAGAGCCCAGTGTAACTGCTTTAGTGGGAAGCACTCCTTTGTAATATAAGATTTGGCAAATGTGTTTTAAAAAACAGTCACATTAGCTCTTTGTGTTGAAACTATAGTTAACATCTTTCTCTGATGACTGCGTATCTTACAGATTTCATATCCAAACATCAGTGATTACCACAGAGCTCTGTAGTTGAAGGTTAGAGAAAATAAAATGGTAGATGATTTGACCAAAGGTGTCTCAACCACTGTCCCATGAGAGTTTTGTTTTTGTTTTTTAAAGCAAATCTCTGAAATGATTTTTTTTTACTTTCTCTATTCTAACAGAAAATTCCAGTTACTTGCTGAATTGCTCATGTTTTTAGTCTGATTAACTGTATTTTTATAGGTAGTATCTGTAGGATCTTTGCTAAGGCGTTTTTAGATTATCTCCTCTACAAAACATTGCACAGAAATAAAAGCACCCTTTTTAGGTATCCCTTAATCTATATGCTTTTATGTGCCAAAATATAGTAATGCTTTGTTTTATTTTGCGTTGTGGCAGCAATTAAATAGTTTAATACCCAGTGAAGGAATTAAACAGAGTTATACTCTATAATAACAACAACCAAAAAAAAAAAGATTTAGAAAGCCAGTTCAGTGACTTAGCTCCTTTTTTCCAGTTTGGAACCAATGTAAATTATTTTCATTCATCTTATTATTTTCATTTTGTACCTTTTATAAGCCATCTGTTACACCACTTTTAAGGAAACAATAACATCTTTTAAAACTAAATTATAGTATTTCTGCTCAAATTCCTTTTTTTTTGAGTCAGAGTCTCACTCTGTTGCCAGACTAGAGTGCAGTGGCACAATCTTGGCTCACTGCCACCTCCTCCTCCCGGGTTCAATCAATTCTCCTGAGGAGCTGGGACTATACAGGTGTGCACCACCAAACCCAGATAATTTTTTTTTTTTTTTTTTAGCAGAGATAGGGTTTCACATGTTGGCCAGGATGTTCTCAATCTCCTGACCTCGTGATCTGCCCACCTTGGCTTCCCAAAGTGCTGGGATTACAGGCGTGAGCCACTGCACCAGGCCTCACATTACTTTCAAGATCTCTTTTTATCTGTAATAACATTTGAAATATGAGACTTGATAAATAACTAAAGGTGATTACATTTTGAAGCTTTAAGTATTACTTAATGACGGAATCACCCTAAAATACTGTGATATAATGAAATAATTTAAAATTTCTCATGAAGCATATTAATATTTAACAATATGTTCTAGATAGAACTTAATAACTTTTTGGACTCTGTTACATTAGATGCATACTATTAAAGATCTATGCTAACAATAGTGTGAAGGAGAAAAAACTGAAATTTTTTACCTTAAATTTCTTATGAGTTTAATTTCTAAAAATTTCAAAAGAAAAAGGTGAAACAATAAAACAAATTGTTAAATAAGCTTAACCAGAAATTGTAAGTTATTTCAGAGGAAATGTGCCTTTGTGTAAACTTTTTACTGACGTATAGGGGATGTGATATTTTTAGAAGATGAGTGTGTAATGATGACCTTCTTCCTGGAAAAATCAACACACAAACCAAAATTCCAATGATTCATGCTACCGATGCAAAGCTGTACCTTCATGATTGTAATCTGTTCTGTGACAAGGATGTTTTAAAGAACTTCTTAAATAGAAGTGCTGTGCTTATGCAATCAGAACAAGTGTGCTTTGGATTCTAAGACAGGGCCATTGTAGGATGGCAGAGTAAGCAGATGAGAGAGGTCCCACAGCAGACCATTGGCAGGAAGTAGCTCTGCCTTGGAGGTACAGGTAATAGGCAGAGGTGTGTGCAAGTAGTCACCATTAGGATGGTATAAAATGAACAGTGGGAATGGTTTACAGGTGGGAAAAACTATGCACCAGGAGTAGATGGCAGTAAAAAAAAAAAAAGAGTGATGATCTAGGCAGTTGAACTATTGATAATCAAGGGAATTCAACTGCAGGTGGTGCAGACTCAGCAGTGGAAATGGAAGTCCAGTGGTAGGTACTCTCCCTCAGTATATGAGGAAAGAACTTAAGAATTAGAGCTACTGAAGACCATTAGCCATAGCAATCTAATGCAAGAACCAAAAACCTAATACCACATGTTCTCACTTATAAGTGGGTGCTAAATGATGAAAACATGAGGACACAGAGAGGGGAACAACAGACACTGAGGTCTTGTTGGTGGAGGGTGGGAGGAGGGAGAGGATCAGAAAAAAATAACTACTGCATGCTAGACTTAGTACCTGAGTGATGAAATAATTTGTACAACAAACCCCTGTGACACAAAATTACCTATATAACAAACATGGACATGTACCCCTGAACCTAAAATAAAAGTTTTTTTTAAATGTGAGCTCTGTTGTGTAAAAGTACATCCACAAAAAAAAAAAAAAGTGAGCTCTAGTCTCTGAGACATTGAGATCTAGTTGGATGGGAACTGAGTCAGGGAATCTAGCAAATAGAAGAAACAAATGGACCTTCTTTTGGCACAGGGGTTCAAGCTAGATCCTAGTTAAGAGTACAAGGTCAAAATAGAGACCATCAGCAAATTTTGATATGAATGGTGAATCCTAAACTATGGTTTCAGTTGTATTTATATTTTCCCTGCCATAGGAACTAGCTTCACTACTGTCTAGATGGAATTGGTGGACCTTGTCAATAATTAAAGAGCCTTTCCTTTGTGAATGAGAGGAAGGCAGAGTTAGAGTCCTGGCTGGTAAAACAGCTGAAGAAAAGATGCAGTGTGTGCCATTCTTCCCCTCCCTGTGCTTCCCTCTTAACTGTGGAAGAGAAAAAGCCAATTCACCCAGGGCAAAATTCAAAGCCACTAAAAGAACTATGAGACCAAGGGTATCAAAACACTTAGCTTTGTAAAAACTGGGATTTATTTTTAACCAGAAGGAGAGTTGATTTAATCAAAATGATAGAATTAGCAAGTACATACTCTGCAATAGGCCAAGTACAGTAACCTTTTAGGATCCATAGTTTCCTAGTTTCTAGATGACTCATGAAAAATAATATCCAAAATGAAACAGTCAATCAGGAGCAAGAGTGGGAGAATATTAGTTTTCAATTGCTGCCGTAGCAAGTTATCACAAATTTAGCAACTTAAAACAACAAGTTTATTATCTCACAGTTCTGTAGGTCAGAAGTCTGGGTTTGCTGGGTTGATTTCTTTGCTCCAAGTTTCACAAGGTTGAAATCAAGGTGTGGACCTGAAATGCTCTTATCTGGAGGCTCCAGAAAGAATTCACTTTCAAGTTTATTTAGGTTGTTGGCGAAATTTGGTTTCTTATAGTTGTAGGAATCAGTAGGGCTGCCCTAAGCTTCTAGAAGCCCCCACATTCACAGGCTCTGGGGATTAGGAAATGGATATCTCTGAGGGGCCATTCTTCCTACCACAGAGGGGAAAAAATTTCCTAAGGATGACTATAATTATTCAGTTTATCTTACTAGGTGCTAGTAAGAATAGTTAAACTATACCTAGACTCTCAAACAAGTAGAAGCCCTGGGACTGTTACCATGAATCAAATCGTTTCTTGGAAAGAGACAAAGGCTTCCATCTTTGAGATCAAAAAGGAGAAAGTAGGGAATGACCAGAATGTATAATTGTTTACAAGTTTTGAAAGCAGAGGCAATGTTAATATTTCTAACACCTTTTCCTTGTGTTTCTCTTTAAACTATGCTATTTTGAAGTGCTGTTTTAGGTTATTTTATTAAGTATTTGGCTAAATGTTGTTTGTCTGTGTGTTGATGATAGGGAGTGTTTAATGGAGAAGCTCACATATATGCCTAGAATTTGACCATGTGGCCGTAATGCTGATTTATTGCTCTAATAGCAATTTACTCAACTTCTGAAACTCATGCGAAGACATTAAATGTTTCTTGAGAGCTGAACATATAATATGAATGCTAAAATATATCAATTATATTTCATTTTTCAACAGAAAATTTTATATGCTATTTAACTTTTTAAAATCATTTTAAAAAATCATTTTGAGAGGTAATTGCACTAAATTCTGAATTGTGTGTGATAATGAATCAGTACATCTTAGCCTCAGGCACATAGTAGGCACCTAATATTTGGGATGCATGTACAAATGTGAATATATCACCCAGAGACATTTTTTTCGAAACAAATCACTTATGTTACACTTTTTCTTGTCATCTACCTTTTCTGATTAAGCTAAATACAGAATGTAAGAAGCCCAGTTTCTGCACCATGAAACATGGCTGCTTATTCCAAAAATTAACAGTGAAAATCAAAGGCCACATCCTAAAATATTTTCATTCTTTTAATTAAATTATAATTGCTTTCATCAGGATCCTTTTGTATTTCTCTTGTACATAAAGCATTTATGTAGCAAGAGTGGTTGCTTCTGTACTGTTACCTATCAGACTTCCCATGCTTCGTGGTTTCCATAAGAAAAGTTTATATTGTAGAAATTGCCAGCCAATCAGAGCACTCTTTTTTCTTCTGCATGGCAAATATCAGCTGTAATATTTAGATCACTAACTCTTTGGCTCTTTATATGTTTTTAGATGCTCAAGATCTGCTTCTTTGTGGAATTTTTGTTGTTATTTGGTTTTTGTTTTTGATGTTATTTCTGGGTCTCTCTTGCTCTTTTGGAAGCCTAAGGGATTTAATACTGTTCTGTGGATACTTTGTGAAAATAACATGTAAAATATTTTTGTGATTTAAAAACAGACCAAAAGTAGCACAGTCGATGATGCTGGTTCTCCAGACTGTGAGTGGGTGACTAAATGAAGTGGCCCAGGGTAGAGTATGTGCTGCTAAAAATAAACTTGTGTCCTTGTGCAAACAAATGCCCAGGAATAATGTAACTGATTTCTAGGTTTTTTCTAGTACTTTAACTTTCAAAAATAGATAATCTTGTTCTTAATAGTCTAAAAATTAAAATGCTTCATATTTTATTAAAATGAATTATTTTAAAGTTAGAAATATCTGCATTTTATTTAACCTTAAATTTTAGGGATTAGGTTAATCTGAAGTAAAGTTAATAGGTGGTCATATTTTCTAGCTATTGACAAAACCGTGTGTGTATGTGTGTGTAAACAGTTTTCATTTATGTTAGAAATAAGACATTCCAGTAAGTTTATAAAATTTTTATTTAAAAAATTAGGTGCCTTACTCTAAGGTAATACCATGTATTCACCTACAGTCTTTTATAAATTACCTTTTATCATTTGCATAATTAAAATCATGTTACACTCAATTCTGTATTTGGTGTGCTTTGCATGGCATCATATCACAAACGGGTTCCCACATTCCTCAAATAATGCCATGTGTAACTATTATTTTTAGTGATGATTCATGTTCCATCATTTAGATGTACTACAATTTATTTAAGTGTAATATTGCTGCTGAATTTTTTGGTTGCTTTGAATAGTTCTTACTGTAAATAGATTACAGAGAACATATTTTATGTATACTGTTTTTCTCATAGTTCAGAATTTATAGTATCAAAAGAAGGGTCACTTAGTCGAATTTATTAATATTTTTATAGCACATGATATATACATGTAATATGATTTCTACAAATGCACTAGTTTCCCATGATACCAATAACCTGTAAAAATCCTTCTGGCAAGATTCTTAAGCATATTTCCCCAGTCATCAATAACATTGCAACTGTTTATCTAGTTGTTAATAACATTTACGAAAAATGACCCTTTTGAGGTTTACCAGATCTTTCCTTTATACCTATTAACTAAAAAGATTTTTCCCCAACTTTCCAGTAACAACAAAAAAGAAACTAAGTATGAACATTGGAAAGGTTCATATTATTCCAGGCAAGCAATTTAAAGAGACTAATACCTAAATATAGAATTGAAACATTTGAGAATTATAAGTATCAAGAAAATGTCCTTCAAATCTTTACAAGATAAAAACAGATTATATCTCAAGGAAGAAACATCAAGATGGTATCAGGCTTCTCTGTAACACTAAATACTAGACATATTAGACAACAGTAGTTAACTAGAGTTTTGATGAAAGTCATCAAAGACACTTGCCTATACATAAGGATTTGGAAAACAATATCTGTATACTTTCTGTCCAACTAATAAATATATAAAAATTAAAACTCAAGCATAATGAAGTTATGTTATTAAAAAATTAGATAAAATTGAAGTTATTATTTTGGATGCTGAGAGTATGGTTACAAAACTGAAGGTAAAGGTCAGAAGTTATTACTGAAGAAGAGATGATAAAAACAAAAATGTAGGCTGAATGCGGTGGCTCACGCCTGTAATTCCAGCACTTTGGGAGGCTGAGGCGGGCAGATTCTGAGATCAGGAGTTCGAGTCCCGTCTGGCCAACATAGTGAAACCTTCCCTCTACTAAAAATACAAAAAAATTAGCCAGGTGTGGTGGTGTGCGTCTGTAATCCAGCTACTCGGAAGGCTGAGGCAGGAGAACTGCGTGAATCTGGAAGGCAGAGGCTGCAGTGAGCCAAGATCACGCCATTGCACTCTAGCCAGGATCACAGTGCAAGACTCCATCTCAAAAACAACAACAACAACAGCCAAAAATGTATGCTTAGAACACCAGATGTTTATAATAAGGATTGGGAAGTGGAAGAGGGAGACATAGAATAGGAATAATAAACTAGCTTCTATATTTTTCATAGGCAAACAATATTGTTTGTCTTAACTTTAATACCTTTAAAGCTTAGGGTAAAGAAAGTTTGTTTTTTTTTTTTTTTGAGACAGAGTTTCGCTCTTGTTACCCAGGCTAGAGTGCGATGGCACAATCTCGGCTCACCGCAACCTCCGCCTCCTGGGTTCAGGCAATTCTCCTGCCTAAGCCTCCTGAGTAGCTGGGATTACAAGCATGCACCACCATACCCAGCTAATTTTTGTATTTTTAGTAGACACGGGGTTTCACCATGTTGACCAGGATGGTCTCAATGTCTTGACCTCGTGATCCACCCGCCTTGGCCTCCCAAAGTGCTGGGATTACAGGCATGAGCCACCGTGCCCGGCCTTTTTTTCCAATTTTAAAGGACATCTCATTAAATACATTTTAGAACCTTTTCTACTAAAAAGTAAAACAGTTAAATAAAATGTAACCATAAGGTTTAAAAATAAATGAATGGGAGATGATTTATTATGCAAACACAAAAGGAAAGCTGAGCTTGCAATATTAATTTTGGACAAAATAGATTCAAGGCAGTGATTACTAAACATGAAAAAGAATGTCACTTTTAGTAAAGGATAGAATCCACAATAAAGATAAACATTGTGCTAATGAACACAGAATTAAAGTATGTAAGGCAAACATTGATAGAAGCACAAGGAGAAATGGACAAACAACAGTGTGGGCATTATATATAAATTTGAAAGAGCTGGAGACAAAAAATAGAGACAATATGAAGATATTAAGCCAATAGATAAAAATGTAGACAGAGAATATATATATTTACTAAGTATCCATGGGAAATGATAATGATCATTTTTTTAGACCACAAAAAATTGTTCAATAAATTTATAAATACAAAAATTGTGTAATATATCTTACCTGGACGCACTTGGAAAACTAGAAAAAACAAATTTTAAAAATCTCCAACTATTGGTGAATTAAAGTATATTTTTTATTAAATCTGCAAAGTTGATATTGGTGTTCTCTTTTTTTATAAGTCATTGGATTACTATAATATTAGTTGCCAATTGCATTCAATAACTGGCAAATAAATTATAATCATTAGATGGTTTAAGAAAAAAATTGTGAACACCAATGTCAAACTTTGCAGATGTAACCAAAAGTAGATTCAGAGCCATATTTGTAATTTTATATTCTTTGGATTTTAAAAAGAGGGGAAAATAGGCCGGGTGTGGTGGCTCACACCTGTAATCCCAGCACTTTGAGAGGCCAAGGAGGGCGGATCATTTGAGGTCAGGAGTTCGAGACCAGCCTAGCCAGCATGGTGAAACCCTGTCTCTACTAAAAACACAAAAATTAGCTGGGTATGGTGGCAGATGCCTATAATCCCAGATAATAAGGAGACTGAGACAGGAGAATTACTTGAACCTAGAAGGAAGAGGTTGCAGTGAGCCAAGACCACACCACTGCACTCCAACCTGGGTGACAGAGTGAGACTCCATCTCAAAAAAAAAAAAAAAAAAAAAAAAAGGAAGAGGATAAAATAGCAACTAATTTAATTAAGATGTTTGAAAATAACAAAACCTTAAAAAGGCAGGAGAATGCTAATTTGTTAAAAAGAAGTAAACATGTTAATGAAACAAAAAAGGTAAATTAATAGACCAATTCCTGGCAAAGGTAATGATGAGAATGCTAATTCAGTTTAGGAGAGAGAAAATAAGTCATCATCTCTGGGGGCCTGCAATTCAGAAAGACAGTCCAAGGTAGGTGGGCAGACTGCTCCACAGTCATCTGAAGCTAGTGGGTGCTCTGCCATTGTAAAAGGCATCTTTTTTTTTTTTTTTGATCTGCCTAGGAGAAATTAGATCTCTGAAACATTTGTGTTTCAGACAATGGGAGGAGAAGGAAAAGAGGGGGCATTACAAATGCTGAAGACCAAAGTTCTAGAAGTAACACATGTTTCTATTCCTCACGTTCTGTTAGAAAGAACCTGATTTTTGGTGAGAACATAGGGGACCGAGAAATGTAATACAGCTGGGATGCTATGTGCCTGGCTGGTAGAAGAAAGGAAAAACATATTTTTGTGGTCTGCTTAGCAGTGTCTCTCACACCTGCTACAGAGAACCTTTACAAATTATGTATAAGTAGTGTATATATAGACAACTAAATATTTCAGTGAAATAAAGTGTTGTAGGAAAATTTAAATGAACAAAATTGAAGCTAAGAGAAGTAAAAAATATAAAAAGGTAATTCTTTCTAAAATTGCCTTTGTCTAAGGCAGTTTTTCTGCTTTACTGCTGTGTCTTTTAACATTTCAGTAAGTAGATAAATCCCATATTATGTGTAAACTTCTTTGGAGCATTATAAAAAACAATTTGCCATCAATTCCTTTTGAAAAGGTAGAATAATCCTGATGCTAACGCTTGAAAAATATAATACGTCAAAGGACATTCTAGACCTGTCTCATGGAGAATAGAGTTGTAAAACTTCTACATAAAATATTGCCAAATATAATTCAGTAGCCTATTAAAAGGATCATGCATGATGATCAAGCATGACTTATCTCAGAAATACAATGATGATTTAAGAAAACTATCAGTATATGATTACCTATATTACCCTTTCCAAAAGAAACACTAAATAATGCTACTCAAAAAATGAAAAAGCAAAAAGCATCTTTTCTGATAACTGATTTCTTTGAAAATTGTTTTTTGTAGTACTAGGCACAGGATGATATTTTAGTATGATAAAGAATATGCCTTCAACCAATAGCCAAAATATTTAACTGTGCTTTGTATTAAAGTTGCCAACATAAGATACCTACCATTATTATTTTAAATGTTTCTCGAAAAATACCTATAGGTGGCTTATGTCTTAGTTCATTCTGTGCTGCTATAACAGAATACTTGAGACAGGGTCATTTATAAATAAATTTATTTTTCATAGTTCAGGAGGCAGGGAAGTCCAAGATTAAGGCACCAGCATCTGGGTCTGGTGACGACTTTCTTGCAGCATCCTCACATGGCAGAGGGAAAGCTACACTGAACTTCCATCAAGCAAGCCTTTTTATAAACTATCTAATATCATTCACAAGGGAGAAACCTCCTGTCCTCCTCACCTCCTAAAGGGCCCCCTCTAAATACTAACATTGGCAACACCTGAATTTTGGAGGGGACACACTGGTACCATAGCAGCTTAAAAACAGTATATATGTCTTAATAAGGAAAATCTATAATCCCCTGCTCAGCCTGTTCCTTCCTACTCACCCTCCCTTTAATCTCCTTTCCATTTTCTAATAATCATAGCACTATTTTAATTCCTCTATTACTACCTTCATATACTTAAAAGTCATATACATGACTTTTTATACACATAAAATTACTTTTCCTATTTTACCAAATATGGACTATCTTGATTCTTTACTATATAATTAGGCAACCAGTTGTCCGGCATTCTTAGTAAATTGTTATTCAGTGTCTAGAGTCTTGATAAAATGCTAACTAGTTGTATTTAGTAATAAATTGCATCCTAATTTTATTTTTAAACAAATTTTTATTTAAGGCCCATTGCTTCAAAACTTTTATACAGAGTATATATATACAACTTTTTTCCCTACCAGAAACCAACAGTGATAATAACTAAATTTAAAACAAGAAGTCTTTTAATTTTTATTTCAAGTTTTTATTTAACAGGAGAAAAATATAAAATAAGAGTATATTTCTTTGTTCCTAAAATTCCAAAAATAGGGAATTAGAGAGAATAAAATACTTTAAAAATCAGTCATATAATAGCATTTCAGAGAAACAGGAAAATGGGAAATGGTGAAATAAATAACATGAACAGATTGACTCATGCCTTCTTAGAGGGTAGAATGATGTAAGTACAAAAAGTTCCAGAGAAGAAAATGACCACACAAAAACTGAACAAAAGGTAGGTACATAGAAACATGAAGAAAGATGCCATGGTAACTCTCTAAGTTCATTTTAATATTTCCTTGGGAAAACAAATAATTGTTCCATACTTTAGTTGATTTGAGAACACCAGATTTTAAATATTGGATTTATAAAGTCAGTAAAATTATATTTGTAATTTGGGAAAATGAAAAATAAGTAAAGTCACTCTCCAAAAAAAATAAAAAATAAACTTGAAATTTAGGGCAGATGGCTAAGTAAATGCTTCAAGAGCAATTAGAAAATATATTATCTGGAAGTGCATGATAAAAAGCATGCAAATTGATCTGAAAGAAGAAACAAAACACTTTTAATGATAATACTGTTATTATCTGCACTAAAGTCTTATGTATTCAGTTTAATTAGAGGAAATATTGAAAATCCATAGTATTTATATGTTTTTCTCTTTTAAGAGAGAGCTGTAATAAAAATCCACCCCTAAATAGTCATGGATATATTATATAGTAAAGGATTTTCCATGCTTCTTCAATGGGAATTCACATAAATTCAGTGAAACGAATGCTTTCTAGTAGTGCTTACTATAATTAAACTGCTCTCCTTTTGTGATTTTGTCACAGCATCATAGAGTAATAATACATGCTTTATGATTCAGGCCCAACAGCAACTTTCTATGGATCATGAATAAATTTGAATCACGAGTTGGAAGTAAACTTGAGAGAAGTCTCAGAAATTTCAGCAACATAACACAAGAAATTTGGTACTACTTACATCTAAATAAATTTCTAATTCCAAAAACGTCTTATTTACCTTACAATTTCAAAGCATGCATTATTTATTTGCTACTATATATAGATTAGCAGGTTAGGCAGTTTGGGAAATATACTCTTCTACAATGCAGGGAGTACCATTTAGTGAACCTCTATAGTATTTATTATCAGCATATGTTAATGATCAACAGAGTGTACCAATGAAATGGTACCCTAAGCTGAGTCCGCATAATACAGTAAACAAGGAAATTATCCTTTGCCAATAAATCCCAGAAGAGTGAATGAATAATTTAGCTAGAAAATGTGGTCCACAAAGTGAAGTTTGGGCTAAAAATGCTGTGGACTAGTGCTTTGTATGGGGTGTACTGGATAATTACCAGTATTCAGCACTCTTCACTTTGTGTCCTTAGGTCAAGGCTAGAAGTTACTATCATATCAGGTAACTCATCATGCTGTATACAATAAATCATCTAGCTATAAAAATTCTTATTTTCAAGATACTTTATTGTGCCTAAAGTATGAATATTAAGAAAGAAGAACCTCCAAAAAATTATTGTGCCACTGTGAAGGAATAGGTACAAACTGTAAAAATGTGGTACATCTTGAAATGTAGGAAGGAAATTAGTTAGTAGTCACTGTAACTGGATTCATTTATTTGTTTGATTTGCTGATTGCTTGACTATCCTACTTAAAATTATAATTCTGACCTATTTTACTGGGAATTCTCTATTCCCCATCCTTTTTTCTTCTTAGATCATAGATAAATATATTTGGTTTGTTTCACTCATTGTCTTTCTTCCCTCACTAGAATGCTGACTTTATGAGGGCAAAGATTTTTTCCCTCTTACATTAACTGCTATATTACAAAACAAAAAGTCCTTGACTACAAGGAGAGAAAATAAATTCAATATTATTATTGAATTTATTAAATAAGTTTAAAGGATAAGATGAAAATTCAGAAGCCATTTTAAAGCTTTAACTTGCTTAAATCTTCATCCAAATGATTAATTTTGTTTTGCTTTTAAATAATAGCAGGAAAAAAAGCCCACAGGAAATATATATAATGAAGAACTTTGAAGAAAAACCTATCCACCTAGCATATGTTATACCTTGAAACAATGTAACCTGCCAAAAAAGAAAAAATGTATAAGCAGTTAGTCAAATATTTAACTGTGAATTTTACATGTTTCTTTGCCAACATCCTTACCTGTTGAATTTCAGTTCAGCTACAAATGAATACAAATGCCTATTTCTTTGAATAGGAAAAAAACATATTTTATATACTTCTTAAGCACTGGAATTGGGGGAGAAATTGTATCTCCGAGCTCCACTAAAAAGTTGCAATAATTCAGTAAATTCTGTTTTGTCACTTGGTACACATGTTCAGGTTATAGTATACCTTTGAAAGTACAGGTGAGTGTGCTTTCCAAATTTGTTCTTTTTAATATGTCTTTTTATTGTAAAACAATTTTCTACTCTGCAATTAATTAGAACAATAGTGATAGGCTATGTCTAGCTTTCATACTAAGTGCAACTTCTACAGGACAGTAAATGTCAGCCTTAAATATATAGATAAAATCTTTCTTCCTAAATCTAGTCATAATCATATTTATTTAAAGTAAAAGAGGTTGTATTTGATGGTATTTTTTCTTCTTACTCTAACATTGTTGTATTAAAATTTTACACAAGTTTAGTTAAAATGCAAAAAAGCAATTTGCTTCTCATTTTTTAGAAACATGAGTGTTGCTATATAAAGCTCAATAGAGCAATAACTGATAAATGGTAGGTATTACATTAATGTGCACTAATTGAAATTGCATGTTTTTTCTTAGAATAATAGATTAATGTTTCATCTTAAAATCTAAGAAATACTATTTCTTCTTTTATATTCATATGCCTTATCAGAAGTTTAAAATTTTGACATTCATAGGTAAGCAACATTTCAGATAATCACATTTAAATCTAGACTTCTTCAGGAAATACTAAAATAATTTGCCTTAATTATTAATAATTGTAGGTACTTTAAAATAAACATTTATTATTTTTTTATCAATTTATATACTGGGAAATGTGTGCTACAAACATAGGGAGATTTTACATCTTATAGTGGAGTATTAATGCATGAATGAATACCCTGAAATATAGGTGAAGCTACCACAACAGATTCACTAGACACAGGATTTGCTTTGATTTCTCTTCATTGAAGAACTGTTCAATTCAAACTGATCTATCTTCAGCATATTTCTGATTCCTTCTTGACTGCTTTTAGTATTTGTAATATGTCTAATCAGGTTGAAGGATGAAATCTATGATTGTAGAACAGTTGTGTGTATTACTGCCCAATGTAAGTATTAAATCTATAATCTTGATTTTATTATGAAGAGTCTAACCCAAAGTTTTTGATATTCTTATTTTATAAAATTCTAGGATTCCATGAAATAATTTGCAAGTGAAGTAGACTTTGAAGTTTTCAATTTGATTTTTTCCATAATTTGTATGAGTCTATTTTCTCCAAATCGAATTTATTTCTCCTATTCAATCCACTGTTTACTTCTATGCCCTCACCACCCTATATATTTTGACTACCAGTAAACTATATGGTATATCAGAAAATGAATAATGTAAGTGTTGCCACCTATAGGCAGAAAATTAATTATACTTGTTTATGATATAAAAGCATAATCTAAAAAAAAAGAATTATTTTTGTCAACTCCTACAACCACCCACCATCTTTAAACTTTTTACCTATTTATTTACCTATTTGTTTTTGATGTTGCCATTTCAGGTACCTGTGCCTTAAAATAAAGCATTTACTAAAGATTTTATTGTTTTTTTCATAGTACTATTTGCATTTACTATATCATCAAAATATACCGTATTATTAAAGTTCTTTGACTTCACAAAGTTTGAAGAGACTTGTTAAAACCAACTAATTTAACTAGTCATATACTAAACTGTTGTATCTCAGTTTACTTCTAGGATGGGGAAAATTACCAATATTTGTTCCCAGGAATGAAAAAGCATCCCTTACTACAAGCTATTATCATTAGTTTTTGGTTTTGTGCCTTCTCTGTAATGATATAGGTTTGTTTCTCCTTTATTCTTTGCAGAGTGCTGCAGCAGCTCCCAGTCCAGTGCTAGGAAACATTCCCCCAGGAGATGGCATGCCAGTAGGTCCTGTACCACCAGGGTTCTTTCAGGTACTCAGAGAAACTCTGACTAGGAATGTTAAGGCATAGGAACTCCTGTTTGATTTTATTAAAGATATGAAGGAAGATGAGGCTATTTTAATTCTTAAGGTAAACAATAATGTGTAGCTAACTCTTGATTATTCAGACTGGTCATCTGTTATATCCCTTTCTTCTTATGTTTTATTTGTTGTTAGTTTATGTATTTATGTATTTAGTCATTTTGTTGTTCAATGGAGAAAGAAAAGGAGTTGAGAAATACAAATTTGCCCATTAAATGAACTGTGGTAAATATTTTGTAGGAGAACAGACTAAATATGAGGTTTTGGAAAGAGATGGATATTTAACTATATAAGCTATCCATATCTCTACAGACAAGATAATCAAGATTTGGCTGCACTTTCAAAATATAGCTTAATTATAATCTATTAATTTATCAAGAATTGCAGGCTATATCAAAATATGTTTAAGAATTATCTTTGTGGCTTTTAAGCTGGAATTTGTATTAATATCATTATATAATATTTTAAGATCAGATTTTAAATATATGTGAGTATTCTTAAATTTTAACAAGATCAATTATTTTAGCAATGATGATAACAATTTTACAATGACAATACAGTATTTAACTTATAAAAATTTTACAGCATCCACTTCTTAAATCTGACAGTTTTCTAACTCAAATCAAAATAAATTCTGAAATTTATTTTTAAATTAATAATAGTTAATTTTATGATACCCTTTGAAAAAATTAAGAACTTAGGAGCTAAGAACTAGAGTTGAAAGGCATTACAGGACCTAAGATAATATGCTGTATTATTAATGAATTATATTAGGTACTTAGAAACTAATTTGTCACTTCAGTTTTGTATTTTCAGAGCTTTTCATAGTTATTTGTTAACTAATTCCCACCATCATTGCAGTGTCATCAATATACTTATAAATGTGAAAATAAAGAAATAAAATTGTAAATAATTTTTCAAAATATGTCGATTGAATAAAAAGGTCTTAGTTAAAACAGAGTTCTGACTCTAGACCTTTAGGACATGCTTATATGTTCAGCTACTCTGTATTAATACACAAGTAGTTCAGAAAAGTCTTCTTAGAGCTCACATTCTGTCTTGGGGCCCCTTTCCTATAATCTAGAAATAGACTATAACTTGATAGTCAATTAAACCACCATCATTTAAGATATTGATAATAAAAGTTAACACTTAACAACTGCTAATTATATACCAGGCTTCATTCTAAATGCTTTACATATATAAACTGTATTCCTCACAATACCCCAGATGTAAATAAAGTATTTATTATTATCATTCCCACTGTACAGATGGAGAAACCAGTGCATTGATAGCTAAGTGATTTACACAAAGTCAGAAAGTTACAGGGCTTAGATTCATATCAAGGTAGTCTGGACTTTTGCCATTTAATTTATCTTTTAAGGCTTGTAGTTGATTTTCATGAAATATTTCCAGTTTATTTTATTTTTTTCTTATTCCCTTATTTCTCTTGCCAAAGATGGGTAGGAGTTAACAGAGTAAATCAGAAGAATATATATTTCTTCAGAAGAGAGTTACTGAAAGTCTCTAAGAGGCACTTTTGAAAGAGGGAGCAGGTTGGGGAGGAAGCCATTCTTTCATTCTAGGGTTAAGCCAAGATATATAGATCCATACACTTTCATTTTCACATTTTGTGGAATGAACCATTCTCCCCTTGCCTATCTTCTGTCGCAAAGTCTCAGTAAGAGTCATTGAAACAGCTTTTAGTTTTCCAATGTGATAAATATTTTGAGTACTGCTATATGCCAGGCACTGTCATAGGCATCTAAAATGAGCACATGTAGTGTGTACCTTCCTGAAGCTTACTGTATGACCGTGAGGCATTATTAAAAACAAATAACTATAGTAGGGTGAAATATGTGTGGTAACCGAGTAAAGTTTAAAGTTCTACGATGACCTAGATAAGAGCCATTAAATCTGTCTGAGTTGGAGATAAGAATAGTATGGAAAACATTGTCCACCAAAGTACGCAGAGGAATTACATTTCAGAAAGTCAGAACAGTATAAGCAAAAGTGTGACTGCATCAAAATTATCTGTGCAGAGGTGTTCAGAAAGTAGTGGGGAGGGTAGGCAGGAGTTCCAAGAAACTGGAAAGGTATGCTGTAGCATGACACATGTTAAGAACTTGAGTCTTTATTCAGTAGGAACCATCAGAGATCTTTGGGAAGGGCAATGACCTGAATTCATACCATACAGTGGATTTGGGCTCTGTAAGGCACCTGTCGGAGGGTTGTGTACAAAATCCCTGCCCTCAAAAACCCCTGCAATGTGATGAATGAGAGAAGAGGCCATTACAGTATAGAAAAAAAATGACTGTAGTAAATGGGTGAAGTATGGTCTTAGACCAAATCAGAAGGCCACCAAACCGAATCTTGGGAGATGCAGAGTCAGAAAAGTATTGTCAAAATAGTAAATGAAATCTAATTTGACACTTAAGGATGAGTTACAAGTTAGGCAAAGGAAAAGAGAGGGAGAACTTTCTAGGAAGAAAGAAATAATTTACTAAGATCCAGAGTGAAAAGAAGAGAGAGAGAGAGACCAAGGAAAATTGAAACTTAATTAGCTAAAGGGAGAGTAGCTGGTGATAAGGCTTGAGAGGGACTATAAGGGCCTTGTAGGTTAATAGAGTTTGAACTTGATCCTAAAGGCAGTAGTAACTACTGGAGACTTTAAGCAGGAGACAGACATGTTCATATTTGCATTTTTAGAAAAATCACTCCAGCTACATTGTGTAGACAGAATTGCAGGGGAACAAGTCTGAAGATAGGGAGATAATTTAGGAGTCTTTTACAGTACTCCAGTGAAATTTAATGATGGCCTTAACTAAGATCGTGGTAGTAAGTTTGGAGAGAGGTGAATAGATTTGAGAGACAGATAAATGCGGGATAATGCAAAATAAGAGAATTCAAGGATAATATTCTAGTTTCTGGCTCTAATCTGGGCAGATGTAGGTACCATTTTCTGAGCTAGAGACCACAAAACGGAAAACCTCAATGGAGGTCCCACGAGTCCTTCAATTAAACATGTCTATTAAGCTGATAGATCTGTCCTAGGTTTGAGGTTTAGGACAGTAATCTAAACTAGAGATAAAAATTGCAGGACCATATAGTATTAAGGATACTTGAATCCTCAGGGGTAGATGAATCGTCCAGGGAGAAAGTACGGAGTGAGAGGGTAAGAGAACATACAACTGAACTACAAAAAACACTAATATTTAAAAGATGGACCAAAGAAGAAGCCATTATGAATGCAGTGGTGTTAGCAGGTCGGCTGTGATAGCAGCTCAAGGAGGAGACTTTGTGAACAGATTGAAGATCAGTGGTAGTAGAATTAGAAAGGAGTAAACGGTTCATAGTTATGTTTGATAGGCCGTAATTAACCAAAGTTAGGATAGAAGAGAAAGACAAGAATCAGGGATAATTCTGAGAGTTCTATTTTGGGTCTCTGGATAAGTTTAGTGTCTTTATCTGAGTAATGAAAGACAGGAGATTGAAAAACTTTCAGATATATTTGAATTTGATATACAAGTCATTTCTGTTTATCTAGGCAGAGTATTTCAGCTAATCCCAAGTACTTTTTTCCTCTTTTCAACATTTAAATGTGTCTTCCTAGAAATGCCTCTCTAAAATATTTAAAAACTCAAAGTATCAAAATTTTTAAAAAGATATGTGATATTACTATCTTTTGGTGCATATGATGATGGGATCAGATGACTCAAGCATGTCATAAATATCAGCACTGATTTCCTATAGTTACTGAACCAAAGTGTGATTCTGGCCATAGTGTCAAAATACATATAGTTAATGAGGAGTAGCTGCCTTCCACGAGTAGAAATAGCACCAGATAATAATAATTCAAATTCAGACTCCAGCTTCCAATCCAGTTTCAAAGAGATGCTGACTTCCAAGAGTGATCCAAATCTGGAGAAGTTGTAATGAGTATCAGCTCACAGTTCATAAACTGTAATACCCAAGATCAGGCACAATCCTGATTATTAGTTCAGTACAAAGCAAGGAGGAATGGAAGCAACTGGAAAAGAGCTGGGTGTGGCTCCTTCAAGTAACAAGGCCCAGAAGGCTGGCTAGGATAGAGACTCAGATTCTCCAAGAAGCCAGACTCAGGTACCAGAGAATTCCTGGTTCAAAAGAGGCTTAGGCAAAAGAGTGCTAAATAGTTTTTCCAGCCTCTCCTGGTTGCAGCTACTAAATTCTGAAGGGTGATTACCACCTATGCCTTTGACCTTTTTAGATAATGAGAATATTTTATATTTATATTCTTAGCAAATGCAAAGCTTATTTGGAGATAGCTTGAATGGACTAGACTGAAAAAGGATCTCCCCTTTTAGAATCAGTGGATAAATAAAAGTAAAGAATAATAATTTATAATTAACAAATCAAGTCCCAGCCTAAGTAGTTCTGAGCTCTACTTACTTTGTGATCATACTGTAAAAAATACATTGAAACATTTCTCCTAAATAGACAAACATACTCCTTTTTTTTCCTGTTTACATTAAGAACAAGCTCCCTCTTCCATTACAAGAATAGACTTAAATTCATTACCAAGTGGAATGATCACAAACTCTGAACTTGTGAATCTGTAGCAACTACATTTGAAAAATAGCAATTAGTTAAACTCTAAAATAAATAATTATGGTATAACTTCATACACTTAATAAGTCCATTCCGTAAGGCAGTCTTTAATGTCTATTTGTGACATTGTTCATATTTAAACTTTGATGTTTTTATTGAAATGAGAGAGCCTCTGTTGCTGAGTAGGAAACCAATTAAGTAAAATAGGTGGGACTAGTCAGACATGCAAAAGGAGATACCAGTTTAGTAAAAT